AGAAACGCCAACCGTGCCTTGCAGTGTTCAATTTAGTCTTCAATCGCCGATTCTCAGCAAGTAGCTCGGCGTAACGGCTGCGTGGCACCGCTGCCTGATCTGGTGGAGGTGGAGGCGGTACAGGAGGGTTCCCGCTTGGTGGAACTTTCCATAACCTTCTTGCTCGTGCTGGTTCAACCCGCGCTGGAGGTACGGCCGTTTCCAAACGTTGTTTTTTCTCCCATGTGTCCCTGTCAATACGCATCAGTTCTTTTTCGTGTATGATCATGCAGCACATCTTCTTCAATACCGACGAGATGTGAAACACAGTCAGGTCACCTGTATCGCTCTTTTTGCACTCCTCGCACACAGCCGCCGAAATTGTACGCAAGAGGTCCGAACTGTCAGAAGGATTCAAATAGCCAGCCTCTGTCACCATAATATCATAGACAACGTGCTCTGCTGCGACGGGAGAAATGTTGCAGAACGGGTGGCCTGACGCACCCGGGTCGGGCACAGCTGCAGCGAGCCAACGCTCTGCGGCAACATTGTAAGCCTTGGACATGCAAAACCCACCGTGGACGAAGTAACACAGAGATGAAAATCCTGAGCCAATGCACGGCGGAACACATGCCAAGTGAAGGGCGGTGGCACGTGAATGTGTTTTCTGTTGCCTCCCTGCCCCTTCCAACACAGATCTTGCAACTACTCAATATGATTATTACTATCCCTACACCCGCGAAGCTGATCAACAAAGTGGCCCGATCCCTCCGCGTATTGTTTTTCACACACAGGATTTCAACGAATTAAGTAAGATGAGTTTTTTTCACGTGCGTGTGATAACTATATATTATGTGAAAATTCAAGACATCAACATATGGAAACAACTAAAAACGCAATAACCAACGCGACAGAAAACTATAGAAAATCAGTGCTTGGACCGTTTTCGTCGCTCCTACAGGGGGTGAGTTGAGGAGTAGGATGGGTGTCGACGATCAGGTTCCCAGGGGAGGAGGGGGAGGAGGGGGAGGAGGATGATGATGGACGACAATGGGAGGACGATGGTGGAGGCCGATGAGGGGGAGGACGACAATGGGAGGACGATGATGGAAGGACGAGGGGGGGAGAGGGAGGACGAGGAAGAAGAGGAGAAGGAGGAGGAGGACGAGGTGGAGGAGGAGGATGACGATGACGATGAGGACGAGGACGGGGACGAGGAAGAGGATGATGATGATGATGATGATGAGGAGGAGGAGGAGGAAGAGGAGGAGAGCACCATCGACAGGGAAGGTGGGGGCCACGAGGTCCGCCGGCTCGACGACGCCCGCGTCCCCCGCGCCCGCGCCCTCACTCTTATCCGCAATTGCGGGGTGCTACGTAGACAAATAATACTTTTTCCTGGAACCCGAAAGGCCTCCAGGACAGGGTCGCAAACCAAACGATGTCGGCCCTCTCGGACGATTCCCGGAATCGCCTTAGAGCGCTCCGAATTCTGGGGTCAAGGCCTTTTGAGATATTTCCGAATTTTCCGTTGTTGGTTTCTCATTTTAAATAGAGCACCGTGGTCGCGTCTTCCTTCCTTCCCGCCTCCTTCCCGCGTCCCCCTTGGGGGGATGCGACTGCGGGGGCCAGCTTAGTGCGGTGCTACGCAGATCAGAGCGGGACCTGGCCAGTCCTGGGGGGCTGAGATCGTCGAAAGTGTCGCCAGTTTCGAGGTTTCTGGGGGGTCCAGCGGATTGAGGCCCCACGCAGGCCTACGCTAGACCTCGCCATCATTGGAGGGTTGCGAGTTGCGAAACCGTCGCCAGTTTCGAGGGCTGCTAGGGGGTCTAGCGGAGTGAGGCCCCACGAAGACTTACATTATGCATCGCCATCATTGGAGGGCTGCGATTTGAGAAATTGTCGCCACTGTCGAGGGCTGCTGGAGGACCCAGCATAGTGGGGCTCTACCCAGATTCAGATTTGACGTCGCCATTCCTGGGGGACTGCGACCTGAGAAAATGCCGCCATTGACTGCAACTGACTGCTGGCATGTATCGAGACGTCGTCTCTGTCCTTCCTCTGATTTTTTGTCGTCACGTTCGTGCTGCTGCCATGTCCTCTTGCTGCTGCCCGGCTGACATTTCAAGCTCCCTGTCCCGCTTCCCCCTCTTTGTCCTCGACCTTCTTCCCCCTCGGCTCAGGGAACGAACTAATCACCTCCATCAAGCCCTCGCCCATCGATCGGCATCCTCCGCGTCGCACATTTCGCGAGTCGCCCAAATACCGTTCGCAGAACATGTACTTCCCTGCCGCGTTATCACCCCTTATTCTGGCCGTGCGTTGCGCCAGGACTTGGTACATCGTCAGGATAATTACCACCTCTCCTGTGTCGGGTTTTCGTTTTGAATATAGCACTGCCTGCTCCGTCTTCCTCCCCCTCCTGCCTCCTGCCTCCTACTTCCTGCCTCTTGTGAGGTCCAGCGGAGTGGGGGGCACACGGGGATCCAGTTGAGACCTCGTTGCTCCCTGGGGAGCTGCGAAGTGCGCATGTGTCGTCACTTTCGTGGGCTCCTGGGAGGTCCCGCGGAGTGGGGGCACACGGGGATCCAGTTGAGACCTCGCGGCACGTTGGGGGGTTGCGAAGTGCGCATGTGTCGTCACTTTCATGGGCTCCTGGGAGGTCCCGCGGAGTGGGGGGACATTGGGATCCAGTTGAGACCTCGTTGCTCCCTGGGGAGCTGCGAAGTGCGCATGTGTCGTCACTTTCGTGGGCTCCTGGGAGGTCCCGCGGAGTGGGGGGAGGCACCGGGATCCAGTTGAGACCTCGCGGCACGTTGGGGGGTTGCGAAGTGCGCATGTGTCATTACTTTCGTGGGCTCCTGGGAAGTCCCGCGGAGTGGGGGGATCCAGTTGAGACCTCGTTGCTCCTTGGGCTGGGGAGCTGCGAAGTGCGCATTTGTCGTCACTTTCGTGGGCTCCTGGGAGGTCCCGCGGAGTGGGGGGAGGCACCGGGATCCAGTTGAGACCTCGCGGCACGTTGGGGGGTTGCGATGTGCGCATGTGTCGTCTTTTTCATGGCTCCTGGGGGGTTCCGTGGAACGGGGGGGACACTGGGATCCAGTTGAGACCTCGCAGCACGTTGGGGGGCTGCGAAGTGCGCATGTGTCGTCACTTGCGTGGGCTCCTGGGAGGTCCCGCGGAAGGGCGGGGGGTGTATTGAGACCCAGTTGAGACCTCGCGGCACGTTGGGGGGGTGCGAAGTGCGCATTTGTTGTCATTTGCGTGGGCTCCTGGGAGGTCCCGCGGAGCGGGGGGGACACTGGGATCCAGTTGAGACCTCGCAGCACGTTGGGGGGTTGCGAATTGCGCACTGATCGCCACCTTCGTTGGCTCCTGGGAGCCTTCTTGGAATTTGATTGGGCGTCTTAGGGCCATCTTGGTTCATTTGGGTGCCTTTGTTGTGCCGTTTTGGAGCGATCTTGCGGCCTTTTGAGCCGACCAGGGCGGTCGGCAGCTCGAGAAGGCGGTGCCGCCAAAATCGCCCGAAAACCTAAGCAACATCAATTATGTTTGCGTCTTCGGGGCCTCTCGAAGTCCTCTGGAAGTCCTCCTGGAGCGTTTTGGGCGCTTCTTGGGCCATCTTGGGACCAACGTGAGCCATCTTGGAACGCTCTTGGCCTGAGGCCGTGGGGCGTGCCACCCTTTGGCGCCTCATTGGGGCGCTCGTGGGGGGCCCGAGTCCGTGCCCAGGAGTCCCGGCATCTCTGATCCGACCCTGCCGGGACTTTGCCGGAACCCTGGCGGGGTTCGTCCGTGGACCCCTAGGGGCCGCCGCGCGCGCGAATTAGAAACATCATTAAGTTCTCATTGGGGATTGTAGCACGCCTTTGGCTCGTTGGGCCGGTAAATTTGCAATGCCCAGCAAAGAGAAATCCATGAAGTGTTTTCGGCATGTTGGCCGATCTGCTAATTTGTGTGATGATGTGAAACGCGATGTTACGCCACCATTACATCAAATGCTTGGTCATACCGTACTACGCTATGCCATACCAGTAAAATGCGATGCTATGATGCTGCGTATGTCAAACTCGTTTATAGGCAGTGTTATCCTTTGCGCTGCGTTGATGCACAGCGTTTCGCATTGCATCTCATTACGTTGAATATGTGTGCCTCCGACGAAATGAATGTGCCTAAGTGTGATCGCGCAGGTATCGTTGCTACTCTTGCGAAAGTGAGCGCGCGAACCGGGTTAGAGGCATGGTAGTTTGTACTCTGAATTGTTGCCGCTGCTCTTGCTCATTTACACATTCTGGTGCCAAGGGGCGCACTGCGAGTGGAGCTCGAGCAGGGGCCGACTTGGTCTCGCGTCTGCAAAGACTGCCTCCACCTCCTCTTTCCCCCCTCCTCCTGCCCCACTCCTTTCCCCCCCTCCTCCCTTCTCCGAAGACTTCCGACGTAGTGTTTTTTTTGCAATGTGGACTCCCAGAGGTCCCGACCCCTTCCCTGGGACCGGCTGTGTTGTCCGTCCCGGTGCCCAGTAAGGCCCGCCAGAGGCAGAAAATGACAAAACAAACGGTTGTTGCCTTGTGTTCTGTTCACGACGCAAGCATCTGGCAGCATTCAGCAGGCACCATGTTGCTGAGCAGGCAGCAGGCAGCAGCAGCAGCAGCAGCAGCAGCAGCAGCAGCAGCAGCAGTAGCAAGCATCATCAGCAGCAGCAGCAGGCATGATAAGGACGAGGGTGAGGGTGACGGGGAAGGAGGAAGAGGATAATATGATTGTTTCAGTTGTGCTAGCAGTAGTAGTTCCAGCAGTCGATCAGAGGGATTAAAATCGCAATTTGAAATGGAGTTGGAGTCCTAGTTGTAGTTGTATTTGCCGCGCGGAGTGGTTGGATCCCAGCAGTCCCATTACGCCACATGGCCCATGCTTGGTCGACGTTTGTCCCCTTCCGCCCCAAATTTCTTGGTGAAGTCTTGGGAACGGGCATTTGGCGACACTCCGGTTCTGCGTATATTGTTATTTGAGCCGTGATCCTGAGAGTATTTGGGCTCAGCGCAGTCACTAGCACAGTCACAGAAGTGCCTGCACCGCTTTGCATACTTTCCAAGAGCTATGGTCTGACATCCACCTGGCCCCGTTGCACCGCTGCTGTGATGCTATGCGCCAAGCACGGGATGCCTTGTTGTCCGCGCGGCAGCTCTGCGTGGCACGCTTGACTGTGAGGACAAGATACCCAGGCGCCCCACTGTCGGCGATTGCCATGCCCTCGCTGGGCGCACGACGCTGGATTTGCGGCAGCACCGCAGAGCGGCTCGGAGGGTCATCAACCCGTCAGTTCGGTACCTTGACGGCCCAGGAGGCCCGGACAGACGTCTCGCGGCAAGCCGGGCCGTACATACGTGTGCGCTTGGCTTTGGAGCGGCATGGCGATTGGCTCATCACTTGCGCGAACTTGTTCCAATTGAGTGGATTTGCTTGTTCAGACGCCTTGCACTTGCAAGCCTTAATGATTGTTGGAAACGGGTCAATGGCTCTGTTCTTTTTGACTCGCATGCCAACAATGGGTGTTCCGTGCGGGTGGGCAATGTTGAAAGTCTGCGTGAACATTTTCATGGTGTACAAGATCTTGCAGGATAGGCAGCCTATTAAGTTGACACCTGAGGAACACGATGTGTATGAGGAGCACTTCATGCACTATGGCGTCACGGCAAGGCAGTTCAAGAGGTTCTGGGACCTTGGCGAGTTGCGGACGCTGCAGGAAGAAGATGTGCTGACCAGCGAAGGCCAGCCCGTGGAATATGTCTTCCTTGTACTTTCTGGCCATGTGTGGCGATGTTTGGATGGTAAGCATATCTCAGCCCTGGACAGTTTCCCAGGTG